ACTTCAAAAATAGTGCATTAAGCCTGTAATTATACAGTGGATGGAAATTATGTTTTTACAAAAATTAAAGAAAAGGAAAGAGGGGGATTGAAGGAGTGAGGGAGTAGGGATAGAAGCATGGTTATCTTCTTAGAACTGTACCTATGAAAAATACACAACTGATCATGTTAACTGACTCAACAGTGTCATTATCTCCCTGCCTCTAATCTCATGACACTGGGCTCCTTTCTGGACTTAGCGCATTCTGAGCACCCTGACCCCAGGGCCTTTGCAGTCGCCCGTCCAACCACATGTAACACTCCTACCCCACGTATCTTCAGAGTTCAACCCTGCACCTCTTTCAAGGGTCCCCAGAAACCTGCCCCAACCACCACACACACCCCCGCTCTGCAGCACTCCCAATCTCTAGCCTGCTTCGTTTTCCAGCACAGCACGGCAACTGTCACCTTATTAGGGTCACTTCTTGATTGGCTTATTGTCTGTTCCTCCTCACATACACAAGAACGGAAGCACCATGAAGGCTGGGAATTTGTTCTCACTAGCGAATGTTCACGTTGGGATCAATGCCCAGGATTAAATGGCATGCAAGGCAACTTTGTTTAAAAAAAAAATGAGTATATGTATTAGTTTGAGGAAGACAGGATGAATCCTTGCCATTTGTGGCCTCAAAGGCTATTTTACATAGCCAAATGGAAAAGAATATATGGGTTCAGGACACTCATAAGCAGAACGTTGAATTAAACTGTATAGTCATTTCCTAAATCATTATCCACACACGAAATCTATACATGTGGCATTTTCTCAATAATGACACAAAATGGGGCCAGTGCTGTTTGAGTCCTGGCTGTTCCACTTCCAGTCTAGCTCTCTGCTATGGCCAGGGAAAGCAGCAGAAGATGGCCCAAGTCCTTGGGCCCCTGTATGCGCATGAGAGACCAGGAAGAAGCTCCTATCTTCAGATTGGCCCAGCCCCAGCTGTGGAGGCCATTTGAAGAGTGAACCAGTGGATGGAAGACCTTTCTGTCTCTGCCTCTGCCTCTGTAACTCTACCTTTCAAGTAAATAAATCTTTAAAAAAAAGATAAAACACACAAGATGGGGCTGCTGCAGTGGCATAGTAGGCTAGCCTCTGCCTGTGGCACCAGCATCCCATATGGGCGCTGGTTCATGTCTCAGCTGCTCTGATCCAGCTCTCTGCTATGGCCTGGGAAAGCAGTGGAAGACGGCTCAAGCGCTTGGACCCCTGCACCTGCGTAGGGGACCCAGAGGAATCTCCTGGCTCCTGGTTTTGTATCGGCTCAGCTCTGGCTGTTGCAGCCATTTGGGGAATGAACCTGCAGATGGAACAACTTTCTGTCTCTCCTTCTTTGTAAATCTGTCCCTCAAATAAATAAAATTAAAATGATTAAAATTATCATAGCCAAAAACCAGGCACATAGGTAGAAGCAGTTATTTGGCATAACCTGTACTGTGTTTTTTAAAAACTGTTTTATGGTTATGGCATTGTGGCGCAGGTAGTTAGTCACTGCTTGGGATGCCCACATTCCACACCCGAGTGCCTGGTCTGACTCTGCTTCTGATTCAGTTTCCAGTTCATGCATCTTGAGAGGTAGCCGAGGATTGCTCATATGCTTGGGCTCCTGCCACCTATGTGGGTGACCCAGATGGAGTTCCTGGCTTCTGGCTTCAGCCTGGCCCAGTCCCTGGTTGTTGTGGGCATTTGGGGACTGAACTAGTGAGATCTCTCTCTCTCTCTCTCTCTCTCTCTCTCTCCCCCCCCCCCATCTTCAAGTAAATAAAAATAAATTTTTAAAAATTCCTCATAGCTTTTTTAAAAAAAAAACTATTTTATAACTATCATAATTTTCTGGTAACTTTTAAGGCACTTTGCAGGTTTTAATCAAATTATGTCTGTGGATGTCTTACCGCTCACTACAGACCTGCTACATCTTGCCCATCTTTGTATTCTCCTAGAATGCCTATGTGAAAATACTGCAGCTAGTGGGTGATCAGAACATGTGCTGATCTGATGACAAACGCACGGGTAGCAAATCAATTATCACACACGCCCGAGAGACTCTGAAAAGCTTCGTGGAAAAAGCCTATTATTATACCTGGATTTCAAAACAATGTCGCACCGAAATAAAACTTATCTATCGATTTCATTTTCTATTAAGTTTCTGAAGACCCCCAGTTTGCAGGCAGATAGCTCCTCTGAAAATAGTTTGGGCAGTAAAATAAGAGATTCTTCATCTAGCACTGCATTGCTTGTTGGCAAAGATCAGAGCTCTTCATAAAATTTAAGATGGAGAATAGAGAATCTTTAAATATGTACAAAAAACTTTAAACATGTACAGAGACAAAATGTCCTAAAAATACTTGGCTTTAATGAGTGATATCAACACTGAAGAACATAAAACACAATGTTTCAATCTAAGTCCCCCCCCCACCCCCTCTCATTCAAAAAAAAAAAAAAAAAAACAAAAAACCACATGATGCTACTGCCGTCCAGACTCGACCGTCCTTGCTATCCAAAAGATTACCTAATCTAAATGCGATTGTGGAAAACTGTCCAGGGTGCATTCTAGGTCATTTCCAGAAGGGACAGCCAGGCCTCCTAGGACGCCCTCCGGGGCCCCTCACTTTCTCGGGGTGAGGAAGCTTCAGCCAGGAGTTCTTCCCCAGAGTTCCCACCCCTACCTCACACTGACAACTGCAGGAGCCTCCGCACAGAAAACCTGCAGCCACCCGCCCCTGCTGGGCACTCGTTAGAATATTAACATTAAGCAAACCAAGCTAGAGTTGGCAAAAAATGATCCAAAAGCCACGTATGGACTTGGAGCATTTCCCAATGGTGCAGACAGAGAGCGCGCAACGGGTTGGATTGTGCAGCTCTTTGCCATGCTGTTACTCTTCCTTTTCCCAGGATATAAAATTAGGACTTGGAAATCACACGATAAAAGCTACTTTTTCTTGAAGTTCGGTGTCTGTCACCCCAGCAGGTTAGGACTCAGGAAAACTGGGTAACGTTATCGCCTTAAAAGCAGGCGGCTTGTGCTCGGGGCTCCTTTTCGATAAGTAAGTAAATTCTTAGGGGTGCTACGTAGACCTTGGTAAAAACACAAACCGAGCTGTTTTCGTTCTGAATTCATTTGAGTCACGTCATATCCAGTGAAACAGCAAACTGTTGGCGGCGAGATTCATTCCACTAGGCTTGCCACCATTTCTTACAGGATCCAAACAAACAAAAACACAGCTCGGCTCTGGGGCTACTTCAGGGCTGCGGGCTCCTGAGCTTCAGAGAATCTGGGGCGTGGGGGGGGGGGGACGGCCACTCCCACCCACCCCGGCCCGGGGCTGCGACACGGGTACTCCCCCTCCCGTGGGTGGCACGGTTCCTCCGTGGCTGCCGGCCACACTGGCACCACCGTCTGGCAGGGGCTCGGCGTGTCTGCGTGCGTTTTCAGCCTCCCGACCCCACCAGCCGCTCTGCCGCCAGCACGGCCCTCCCTCCACCCCCAGCAGGTCCGTGGGGCCTTCCCGCGCCGCTCTCGACGTCCCTCGCCCGTGGACCGGCACTGGCCACTTGGCGCCCAAGGAGCCACCCTCGGGAAGGGCTCCTCGGGGTGGCCACCGCACCGGGGGTAAAGTGACCAGGGCATCAGCCATAGGCAGGACGCAGCCAGCGCGCCCGAGGAGGAAGGGGCAGGGAGTGTCGCCACCGAATCCCGAGAAAGGCCGCGGGACCCACCTCCGGCTCCCGGCCGCTCCCGCCCTCGGCCCCACCTCCCCCGGCTCGCACAAAGGCGTCCCGGAGGCGGGGGCCGCGGCCGCGGGAGGCCGCCCGGACGCCATCCGGCCAGGCCCGGGCAGCCGGGGCTTGGGGCCGCGCAGGCCGCCGCTCCCGCGGCGAGTCTGGAGGGCCCGTGGCGGGCAGGCGGGAAGGAAGGACGCGAGGGCAGAGTTCCCACTGGCCCGGGCCCCGGCCTTTCCCTGAGAGCACCCCCTTCCCCGAGAAGGCCGGGGGCGCCCCCACGCAGTCCCGCCACGCCCGCCCTGCTGGCCACCGGCGTGGGGCGCCCGGGCCGCGGAGACTGCAAGAGTGCAGGCGCCGTCGAGGCGCGGGCAGACGAAGGGCCGACTCGGGGCCTCAAATCCGTTCTTCCCATTTCCCCCAGGCCCCAGGACCTGCTCCAGGCTGCCAGACAAAGCGGGGGCGGGCGGCCCGGGAGCCCCCAGGCCTCCCCGCCTGGCCGCGCGTCGCGGACGCACAGCGGGCGCAGGCACGGCCCGGGCCCGGTGCGGGAAGATGGCCGTTCCTGCCTTTTATAAAAGCTCTTTGTTGTGCTCACACAAAAGCGGCCAGCAGGCCCCTTGCACTAATCGAAGGCGCTCGGCTGAACTTCCAGGTGGCCCCAGAAAGCCCTAGGCACCTCCAGGAGAGGGGGAAATAACAGGCTGCCCGCCCCCGCCCCGCGACCAAAGCCCGTGTCCACGTCCAGGGATTCGGCCCCGGGCGCGGGAGCTGAGCACACTGGCGAGGGAGGGAGGGAGGAAGAGGAAAAACCGAGGACCAAGGCCCGCAGGCGCATGAAACGTTCACGTTCTCGTGGGCTTTCTCCCCTGAATCGGGGTAGAAACATAATCCGGAAAAGTCTGGATCCACCAAAAAAAAAAAAAAGAGAAAAAGGGGAGGAAAAAAAAAAGAAAGAAAAAAAATACCAAACAATAGCAACTTAAAAAAAAAAAATCACAAACCAGTTGCCATCAGCCCAAAGTGGTAGCAGCAGCAGCCGGCGCGTGTGATCCACTTACTTGTCCGACTCTTGTGACATGTTTGATCCAATGAACTCGCTCCCCTTTTCCTGGAGCCTCAGCCTCTGGAGAAACTGGACTTTCAGGTCTGTGCAGGTGAGAGCGCCCGAGATGGCAGAACAAGAGCTACAGGTAATTCTGCTTTTTCGTCCCCCCTCACCACGCTCGCTCGCTCGCTCGCCCGCTCGCGCCCTCACCTAGCCGGAAAGGTGGGATAAGGGGGGGGCCCCTCACATGGGGCCCGAGCTCGGAGGCAGCCGGGCGGCGCGGAGTCCTCCTGGGTCGTGGCAGTGGGCAGACACAGAGCCGAAAGTGGCGGACTTGGGCGGCCACAGGTAACTTTCTCGCAAGGAGCTGAATTCTTTCACTAAAGGGTACAAGCCCGAGGGACGAGCCGCGCCGTGATTGGCTGCGGAGCTCGCTCAGGTGAGCTGCCATTGGCAGAGGCGCGCTCAGGTAAGGCCCTTCTCCAGGTGCAGGTAACTCACTCCAAAGTTTACCTGAGTGGAGCGGCGGCACGCTTCGCAGCTCGGCGGCAGCCGGTGGGAGCTGAAGGTCAGGGCTTCGAGCCGACCGCGAGCTACCTTTGCCTTTTCGCCCCCGAGGACGGGGTGGGAAGCTGGTGGGGGAGGGTACCTGGCGCGGGGTGGGGGCGGGGTGGGGGAGAAGCAGCACCTGCAGACACTAGGGATTGTGGGTCGAACGGAAGGACGAAGGAGAGCTGAACTCGGGCATCGCCGGCCACCCGGAATCAAACGCGCAGCACCCTACGAGGCATGCGGTGCCCACCTTAAGATGACCGACAGTGGGCCCAAGAGTGCGGAACTCGAGTGTCTTTGTGCTTGGAGGGGAGAAGAGACCCAGAGATCGCCAGCGCTGTTGTGTAACTGCATTTTTCACATTCTTAACCACAACAAACATGTCCCGTGTCCCGGTGGGTAAGAGATAGCAGGTACACTACAGAGGCTCAGATGGGCGAGCATCGCTTGGTGAGCGGGCAGGTGCGGAGTGGCCTGGTTCTCATGGAGCCCCGCTTCCATCTCAAGCCTAGGATTCCAGAACTGCAAACAACCCCTAAATCCGTTCCATAAACCTGTTGTCATCTGGTGTCTCGAGGCAGGCATCAGCATTTACATTGTAATTCAATAGACGCAGCTACTACAAAGGTGCTTTATCCTTCCAGCTTAATATGGTTGCTACGGAAACGAGGCAGGAGGACACCGACTTTTCTGCGGTTCTGTTTCTCCTGGCTGGGCATAGCATGAATTAGCAAAGGTGTAATTTATAATCGCGTGAAGTATCTGTGGAAGTTCTGATGGCGGTCTGGCCCAAATATGTGGCGTGGAGAAATAAAGGAGATGGCGAAAAGCTTACTGTAGTTTATATTACATTACCACCAAAGCCGCCAGAGTTGATACAGCTTCTGGTTTCGTCTTTATGGATCACATATTTCCTGAACGTTAAATGGTGAGACAAGGTTTGGTTGTGCCATTGTTTTTGCTCTCGGCAAATGAGTTTTGAAATTGTGTTCTTTAAAGACAGCATGAGGACAGTCCTGTGCACTAACTTTTTAAGGATAAAGGATAATACAGTACCCACCTGTCCCCAGCATTCTCTTGCTCCTCTCTAGAGGCTCCTCCTGTAGCTGTGTCTTCTGTCCTTTCTCTCCCTGTTCCTAAGTAACTAACATTATCTCTTGATGTAGATGTTGTGTTTTGACTGCCTGTAGCCTCAGATAAGGATTTAGCTCTTTCACTTCACCCCGCTTCCGCATCTAGCCATTCTTCCAACATAGCTCTCCCACGGTGTAGGGGCCAGGTCATACGTGATTGTGTAAATGTTAGTAACGACAGAGCGAACTAGTGTACAACAGTGGTTTTCTGTCTTATAAAATCTTTTAACTATTTTATGTATCTATCCTGATATTGTTCTATTGACAGCTGACCTATCAAATGGATTTTTCAAATGGTCAAACATTTCTCCTTTTCCCCTTGGAAAATCCCTCCTACATGCCTGTTTTATTCCAGTGGAGACAAGTCGCTCCATGAACCTGCTGCACAATCTTCATTCTGACACTGATTTCTGTGACTTTTGCCTTCTTAGTTTACTGCTTCATTTCCCATGGCACATGGTCTAGTAACAACACAAGAAGGGGCGCAGAAGGGAAGATTTGAGTCCTTACGCTCTTGAAGCATCCTTATGCAACTTTTTCTTTATTTTTGATGAAAAGTTTGACTATCTGTACAACTCTAAGTTGGAAAATTTCAGTCATGATTTTGTAAGGATTACTCTTACGTCCTCGCTTCTGGTGACATTATTGAGAATTTCTTGCCAATCTGATTCCCAGTTCTTGGTGACTTAAGATTTTTCTTTCTGGAAACTTGCTCTTCATGTGTCTAGTATTCTGAAATGTCAAGATTATGTGCCTTAGTTCAGCCGTTCATTTATTGAGCAAACTGGGTACTCAATGGACACTCTGTCTGGAGACTTATGTCCAGTTCAGGGAGTTTTCTTGAGCTATTCCTTTCATAATTTCCTTGCCTCTGGGGAGTCCCATCCTAGCACAGCAGTTAACATGAAAGTGCTGGAACCAGATTGCAAGTTCAATTCCTGACTCTACGTTTTGACCTTGGGCAAGTCACTTGATCTTGCTGTGACTCACTTTCCTCATCTGTAAAGTGGGGATAATAATAGTCATCATCCCCACCAATATATCTGAGCCACTTAGAACAGTGTCAGACATGTGTAGGAAGTCCTCAGTTCTTGGCTCCTCTTACTGTTTTCTTTAAACCTCTGTTAGTTGGATATTGGATCTCTTGGCTTAATATTAGAAAGTTCTTATTTTTCTTTCCCACTGGACGTTGCTTGCTCATTTATACAAATTTGGGTGATCTTGTAAAGATTTATTACTCATTTGTTTGAAAGGAAGAGAGAGAAAACACTTCCATCCACTGGTTCACTCCTCAGATGCCTGCTACAGCTGGAGCTGGACCAGACTAAAGTCAGGAGCCGGGAACTCCATCCTGCTCTCCCACGTGGGTGGCAGGAACCCAAGTACTGAGACCAGTATCTGCTGCCTTCTCAGGCACATCAGCACACAGCTGGATCCGAAGCAGAGGGGCCTGAACTGAACCAGGCACTCTGATCAGAGATGCAGGCATCCCAATGGCAGCCACAACGCCCACCCCGGAGGACATAACTTTCTACTGATACGATCTCAGCCATCCGAAGACCTCTTTTCGTGTTTTTTTTTTTTTTTAATGCAGTTCCGCAATTATGTCATCATTGCAGTAATTTTCCCTGCTTTTTGAAGGTCTTTATGTACCTAGAGTTTTCTGCTTCCTGCTTTCTCTCAGCTTCCCCCGGCTTCCTGTTTCCCAGCGTGTTTGTGCAGTCCCATCTTGTTGGAAGCTTTCGTCAACTGTGCAGACCTTCTACTCTTCCTTCACAGGTAAGAGTAAGGTAGTAGATCCTCCGCAGAAACTCTGTGTGGGGGTGGGGCGGGGGCGGGGGCTCGCGGCACGGCGACCCGGTGAAAGCTTGTCTTCTGGTGGGAAGATACCCCAAGTGTCAGAAGCGAGATGCCAGTTTTCTTTGGGGCTCTTCAGTTTCTCACGAGAAAGCTTCTACAATCCCTTGCCTGCGGGGGCGTGCTCCTGGCTGCCAAGCTCCTGGAAGCCGGCCAGGGGAAGGGTCTGGACGAGTCACTGCTTAGTCTGCAGGCTTTCCCGCTCGTTCCTTTTCTGTAGATGCCTCCCCCCTGCCGTCTCTGTGTCTGCTGTCACGCCTCTCTCCTGTGTCTCCTCCTGGTTGCTAGGCACGGGACAGGGACCCGAGGAACCAACAACTGCAAATGCCAACGTGTACCTCGTACCCCTGATTTTAACCATTCACCTCCCCTTTGCTTCTGGGATCCTGGAACCGCCTTATCAGCATTTCCCTATGGTGGTCTCGGCATCTTCAAAGCCCAGGATTTTGTAGAGCAATTGGACCGTTTGTGTTCTGATCCCTGTGACCATATCAGAGTGCAGCTTCCGCTATTCGATTAAACCAGTTTCCACCCCGCCTCCAACAGTTCTTCCAGAATTGGGTTGAAATATAGCTTTTGCTGATGGCTCTTCCTCCGCTCTCTTTGCCATTCTATGTTTCTTTAAACAAAAAACGTCTTTTTTTCAAGGGACAATGAAGATAAACCAGTGTTGGTTAGCCTGCCATCTTTAATCCAAAGTGCATTTCCAAAATCACCTAATGGTTTTCTGGAACTATCTCAAATTTGTTTATAGCTACACTACTCCTTATGTTGGTTTGTGATTGGTCAAGATGGCTTTCTTCCTCTCTAACATCTAACAGCTGAGCCTTGATTAGACCGATTGGGTCTGTTTTCCTGGTTGGTTAACTGCTGCTATATTGAGTGTTCAGATCACCGAAGGGGCACTTTCAAATTTACCAACCATGGCATGGCTGCTATTATACAGTGGCTTTGATTCCCTTGGCACGAGATTTGAAAATGAGTAAGAAAGTTGCTGGCACCCTGATCATGAGACAACACCATGCTTTCCCCAGGGGCTTTTAGCTACAAACACTTAAATACGGCCCTGCTATCAAGCCTGGTCCCTGGGTGGACCGTCAGCATCAGATCACCTGTGAGGAACTTGTTAAGAATGCAAATTCACCCACTCACCCCAGACCTACTGAATGAGAAACCCAAGGAGATGGGCGGGCAGCAATGTGTTGTCTAATGAGCTCTCCAGGAGTTTGAGAAACGCATTTCTAGAGGCTGGAGTGCCATATCCTTAGCCACTGAAGGCGGTCATCCCAAATTATGCTGCACACCGAGTTTTCCCATGGGCAGTCATGGGGCTCCTTAGTGGATTTCACCTGTCTGGATGATTGCCTTCCCGGTCCTCTGATTGTTTACTTAATGGTTGACCACTGTCCTTAATAGGAGTAGTTAGCAAATTACAGAAAGGAGCCTCAAATCTGCCACAGTATGGCCATGGGGATCTTAGGAGCTTCGGCACAGCATTTGAAGGTCATTTAAGAGGCAACAGCAAAGCAAACATTGATGTAGAAGCTAGTGACAAAATCATGCTATTTTTAGACCACATGATTTCATTGATGAGATTAAAAGTTCAGTCAAGTTCCCAGGGGAAAATTATACTGTTGGTTGGAGTCCTGGTCTTTAGCATCTAGTAAGATGGCTGAAGTCATTTTCCTAAAGTAATAAACTTAGGATTTCATGTGCATTGCCATTTCACACCTTGTTAAGTGAGACTTGGGGAAAAGATGCTATTCTGGGGCATCTACGCAGAAGAACCCACTTTGCAAGGCTTCAGATCTAGTCCAGCAGGTCTGCCTGCCTGCTGCTGTGTCTCCCCCCACCAGTGTTACACACAGGGCCCCTGCAGCGGGTCTGCCATTGGATCTACCGAGGAACAGTGCCAAGCGGTGTCTCAGGCTGATTCACGCTATAAAAACGCTAACATGTTCAATTGGCTGTTATCCCAAAGAGGGAAACTTGGAAAGAATAAAATGTACCTGGGTGCCCGAATTCCAATCAGCCCCGGAATGTGCAGCTCAACCAAGTGAGCAGTAAAATGACAGTTTCCTTGTGGTTTGGGGACACTTCTTCAGCCAGTAGCCAGCGAAGGTTTGCAGATTTCCTTCAATCAGCACTGGTTTCTGTTGCTGGCCTGGCCATTAGTAATCTCTCAGCAGAAAGCACGGGCTCAGGGAAGAAGCACTGCACAAGTCTGTGCTCCATCCTGAATCTCCAGGGATAGAAGAGAGGGCGAGGAAATGAGAGGTTAACAGCGGGCCGCAAAGTGTGGACATTGGAAAGGCACTAAGGAAGTAGGAACTGAGTATCAGAGCTGAGCAAGATGAGCCCCGAACATTTTGAGGATCAAAGCTGTTTAGCCTGGAAACCTCAGACAAGCTTAGGAAATCCAGTTTCCCATGGTCGGTGAAGGTGGGAGTGAGTGAGCGGCAGGGTTGATGGCAGACACAAAACTACTGGACCGGTATATCCAAACCCGAGCCAGCACAAGCAGGCCCTGTCTATATCCATCTGTAGGGCTTCCATAACAGTACCATACACCATGTGGGTTAAGCAACAGAAATCCACCTTCTCACATTTCTGGGAGACAGAAGTCCAGGCTCACAGGTGAGCGTCTTCTGACTGTACTGTCACGTGGTATTTTCACTGTACACGCTCATCTCCATGTCCTAACCTCTTCTTAGAAGGACATCAGCGATACTGGACTGAGGTTACTCACGTGTCCTCATTCCACCTTCTTACCTCTTCAACAACTCTCTAAGTATAGTCACCTTCTGAGGCTGTGGGAGGTTAGGACTGCCACCATAGGAGCTTGTAGAGATGCAGTTCAGCTCAAAGCATCCTCCTCCAGGCCTGCGGGAGACAATGTATATTCTAGCCAAACTGAACCAGGAAGACTTGTAGGCTTGGGTGCGTCAGGAGAACCATCGGGAGTGAGGCACCAGACCTACAGCAAGGTGAGTGAGTGAAAGGTCACATACTAATCAATGAGATACCATCTCCTAGCTCCCTCCACCCAGTTTGCTGAGCTGGGTTTATACCACCACCTCCCATGTCTCTCCCCCAAGGCAGGGGATCAGAGGATCTGTGAATAAATTAAAGATCCTAGAGAAAAGATCTACGGATATTGATGTATGGGTGTTCCCTGAGCAGAGACAGAGAAGCAAAGAGCCTGCTGTCTACCAGGTCTCCTTCCAGCAAACCGCATTCCCTCCAGCCTCACAGAAAGCCTCTGTTAAGCTTCTTGTGCCACACTTTTATTTATTTATTTATTTATTTATTTTTAAACTTTTTTTTTTGACAGGCAGAGTGGACAGTGAGAGAGAGAGACAGAGAGAAAGGTCTTCCTTTACCGCTGGTTCACTCTCCAATGGCCGCCGCGGCTGGAGTGCTGCAGCCGGTGCACCACACTGATCTGAAGCCAGGAGCCAGGTGCTTCTCCTGGTCTCCCATGGGGTGCAGGGCCCAAGCACTTGGGCCATCCTCCACTGCACTCCCTGGCCACAGCAGAGAGCTGGCCTGGAAGAGGAGCAACCAGGACAGAATCCGGCGCCCCGACCGGGACTAGAACCAGGGGTGCTGGCACTGCAGGTGGAGGATTAGCCTAGTGAGCCGCAGTGCCGGCCATACTTTTATTTTTTTAAAATACTTATTTATTTATTTGAAAGAGTTACACAGAGAGAGAAGGAGAGGCGGGGGGGGGGCGAGTCTTCCATCTGCTGGTTTACTCCCCAGTTGACCCCAATGGCCAGAGCTGTCCCGATCTGAAGCCAGGAACCAGGAGCTTCTTCTGAGTCTCCCACAAGGGTGCAAGGGCCCAAGGACTGGGGCCATCTTCTACTGTTTTCCCAGGCTGTAGCAGAGAGCTGGATCAGAAGTGGAGCAGCCGGGACTAGAACTGGCGTCCATATGGGATGCCAGCGCTTCAGGCAGTGGCATTACCTGCTATGCCACAGTGCCAGCACCTATGCCATACTTTTAAATATAAATATGATGGGGGTTGGCGTTGTGGCATAGCAGGTAAAGCCACCACCTGCAGTGCCAACATCCCATATGGGCACCGGTTTGAGTCCTGGCTGCTCCACTTCTGATCCAGCTCTCTGTTATGGCTTAGGAAAGCAGTAGAAGATGGCCCAAGTGCTTGGGCCCCTGCACCCACATTGGAGATCCAGAATAAGTTCCTGACTCCTGGCTTTGGATCAGCACAGTTCCAGCCATTGCAGCCTTTTGGGGAGTGAACTAACAAATGGAAGATCTCTCCCTCTCTGCCTCTGCTTCTCTGCCTTTCAAATAAATAAATAAATGTTAAATATATATATATATGTATATTAGCCAGCGCCGCGGCTCACTAGGCAAATCCTCCGCCTTGCGGCGCCGGCACACCGGGTTCTAGTCCCAGTTGGGGCACCAGATTCTGTCCCGGTTGCCCCTCTTCCAGGCCAGCTCTCTGCTGTGGCCAGGCAGTGCAGTGAAGGATGGCCCAAGTCCTTGGGCCCTGCACCCCATGGGAGACCAGGAGAAGTACCTGGCTCCTGCCATCGGATCAGCGTGGTGCACCGGCCGTAGCGTGCCAGCCGCGGCGGCCATTGGAGGGTGAACCAACGGCAAAGAAAGACCTTTCTCTCTGTCTCTCTCTCACTGTCCACTCTGCCTGTCCAAAAAAAAAAAAAATATATATATATATATATGTACACACACACACATATATAAACATGAAGGGGTCAGCATTGTGGCACAGTGGGTTAAGCCACCACTTGGGCTGCCAACATCCCACATGAGCACTTGTCCGAGTCCCAGCTGCTCCACTTCCAATTCAGCTCCCTGCTGATGCCTCTGGGGCAGCAGCGAATGATGGCCTAGGTATTTGCCTGCCGTACACATGTAGGAGACCAGGACAGAGTTCCAGGCTCCTGCTTCAGCCTGCTCCAGCCCTGGCCATTGCAGCCATGTGGGGAGTAAACCAGTGGATGGAAGATCTCTCTCTGTCGTTGGTCTTCTGTATATAAAGTTAATTAAAAATGAATCTTAATGAAGAATGGAATGGGAGAAGGAGTAGGAGGGGGGATGGGAGTGGGGTGGGAGGGTGGGCATGGAGAGAAGAACCGCTATATTCCTGAAGTTGTACCTATGAAATTTGCATTCGTTAAATAAAGACTTTAAAAAAAAAACTCTATCTCTGTCTCGCCCTCTCTCTTGCTGTCACTCTGTTTTTCAGATTAATCATATATATGTAAACATGAGGTCAGGTTTATATATATAAATTATACTTTATATAAATATGTATTTATATAATCATATATAAAATATGAATTCCTATATATATATATAAATAGGTCAAATTCACTAATATTTGAGAAAAGCCTCCAAAAAAGAACAAAGACCAGGACAAAAATCTAACTAAAAAGGTGACTTGGAGGAAACAACATTTTAATGGGATAAAGATTATAAAATTAATACATACAAAAACATTGAATCTATGAAATAAGAACAGTAGGCTATTTAAAAGCAATGAAGCAGATATCAATAACAGGGCCTATAGACAGTGAACATATGAAAGCCGAAATAGAGCTTTCGATGGAATAAAGACAGAATCTAGGAAACTTCTCAGAAAGGAGCATAAAAGACTGTAAAGTGGACAATAAAGAAGATATTATAGGATCGATCAAGAAGGTATAATGTGTTCCAAAGAAAGGGTGGAACAAAGGGAAGTATGAGAGAAAAGCTGAAATATGATTTTAAGAGCTAAAGTATTGTGAGTAGTGTAATTGATATCTTCTAATCCTCAGCACGGAGAATTGGAAGAGACATAAGTTGAGGCAATTATCATTAAATTTTGGACCAACCTTTGCAAGGAATAAAAATAAAATGAAACAAAGGAAAATTGGCTCAAGAATCAGAATATATTAGACTTTTCAACAACACTGCCTGCTCAAAGACATTAGAAAAATTGTCTTTAGAGAATTTTCTGCTTTGACAAATTGTAATGAAGTATAAAAATACAATGAAGTTTAACTTTGGGAATTCAAGGTCACAAAAATTGCCTCTCATGCATCCTTTCTTAGAAAAACGTTAGATAAAATGTTCCATGAAATGAGAAAATGCCAAAAAAAATAAAATAAAATAAAGGATCCTCATGACTCAGAGATTGGGAAAGGCAACAACAGAGGAGAAAGTTGGAAGGAAGTGAGACTGATGGTTTTGCAGCAGGCTTCTAGAATAACCAAACTTTCAACAGGGACCTCGGGATGGAGACTGGGAGATAAGGAGGAGAAATCAACTATTAAATTGAACCTCAAGGAGCCGGCGCCGCGGCTCACTAGGCTAATCCTCCGCCTAGCGGCGCCGGCACACCGGGTTCTAGTCCCGGTCGGGGCGCCGGATTCTGTCCCGGTTGTCCCTCTTCCAAGCCAGCCCTCTGCTGTGGCCAGGGAGTGCAGTGGAGGATGGCCCAGGTGCTTGGGCCCTGCACCCCATGGGAGACCAGGAAAAGCACCTGGCTCCTGGCTCCTGCCATCGGATCAGCGCGGTGCGCCGGCCGCAGCGCGCCGCCCGCGGCGCCATGGGAGGGTGACCCAACGGCAAAGGAAGACCTTTCTCTCTCTGTCTCTCTCTCTCACTGTCCACTCTGCCTGTCAAAAAAAAATAAAATAAAATAAAAAAAATAAATTGAACCTCAAGGAAATAATATCTTTGTGGATCTGGGAAGTCTGAAAGTACTTCGAGAAGTTTCTGGAAAAGAAAATTTAAAATTAAGTTTATTTTGATTCAGAATGTTTTCTTAAGATTTATTTGGCGGGGGGGGGGGGGGAGACAGAGAGAGAGGGAGAGAGAGAGAGAAAGGTCTTCTGTCTGCTAGTTCACTCCCCAAATGGTTGCAACAACCAGAGCTGGGCCATGCCAAAATCAGGAGCCAGGAACTCCATCCAGGTCTCCCACATGAGTGACAGGGGCCCACGTACTCAGGCCATCCTCTGCTGGTTTCCCAGGTGCATTAGCAGAGAACTAGATGAGAAGCAGAGCAGCCCAGGGGCCAGTGCTGTGGTGTAGCAGGTAAAGCTGCTGCCTACAGTGCTGGTATCCCATATGGGCGCTGGTTCGAGACCCGGCTGCTCCACTTCTGATCCAGCTCTCTGCTATGGCCTGGGAAAGCAGTAGAAGATGGCCCAAGTCCTTGGGCCCCTGCACTTGCATGGGAGACCTGGAGGAAGCTCCTGACTCCTGGCTTCAGATCGACACAGCTCCAGCCATTGCAGCCATTTGGGGAATGAACCAGTGGAAGGAAGATGTCACTCTCTCTCTCTCTCTCTCTCTCTCCCTTTCTATAACTCTATCTTTCAAATAAATAAATAAGTCTTAAAAAAAAAAAAAAAAGAAAAGAAAAAGGAGAAGGAGAAGAAGCAGAAAAGCCCAAACTCAAACTGGCACTCCCAGATTGATCCCTGGCATTGTAAGCAGAGGCTTAGCCCCCTTTGCCACAATACTGGCCCCATGGTGCAAAAAATTTGAAATCTATGCATTGTTTCCCACAATTTTCATGAACTTTTTAAAGATTCTGAATATGCATGCATTTCAAAATTTTCTAAAGCAAACTAAAGTTACGTTCTAATTTCATTTCCATGAACTTTGTGAAGTTTCTTTATATTAGCAATAGATACAGGGAAAACTATCCAAATAATTGGCATTTAGTAACCCCAGGAAAAAAATACAAGAATGGAAATATAATCTCCTTCATCTTAGTACACACAAGGAGTCTTCCAAAAGTTTATGGGAAATGTGTGTATTATGAAAAAAGCTATGCATATGTTGCAAGACTTTCTGTACCAAAACAAACAACTTTTTTTTAGATATTTATTTATTTATTTGAAAGAGTTACACAGAGAGAGAAGGAGAGGCAGAGGGGGGAGGGATCTTCCATCCACTGGTTCACTCCCCAGTTGGCCCCAACGGCTGGAGCCGTGCCGATCCAAAGCCAGGAGCCAGGAGCTTCTTCTGGGTCTCCCACGTGGGTGCAGGGGCCCAAGGACTGGGGCCATCCTCTACTGCTTTCCCAGGTCATAGCAGAGAGCTGGATAGGAAGTGGAGCAGCTGGGACTAGAACCGGCGCCCATATGGGATGCCAGTGCTTCAGGCCAGGGCGTTAACCCACTGTGCCACAGCACTGGCCCCCAAACTTAACTTCTAATTCCATTTCCCACAGACTTTTTGATGTACTCTCACAGTTGGCTCAAGAGGGATTAATATTGAAAGCAGGGCAGCGCTGGTGTTTTTTGGGCGAGAAGGGAGGGGAGGCTTGGGGAAGACAGGCGGCTCCTCCTCTTCCACCATGGCAAAGTCAAGTTGTTGCTTAGAACTCACCCATCAAGAACCAGCAACAGAAACATCAGGTAGGAACGCTTTGGGCATTGACTACCCGTAGCTTAGAAAAATAGTTTAGTTTGCTGGCTTGAAATAATAGTGATCTGAAACAGAACAGTGCTCCGTTCTCTCACCCCTGAGATTCTCTTGGCCTTTTTCCTGGGGCCCAGGGTGGCCTTCCACCGGGAGCGCCCGAGTTTGTGTCTCAGGCAGTCAGAAGGAAGCTGGTGTTCATCTCAGCCAGGCCGTCGATGAGAAAGAGAATCCAGCTGTGATGTGAGAAGGCCCCAGTCTTTGTGGCCAGAACTGGGGCAGTCACTCCATTGGCAAGAGTGCCTGGAAGAGTGCATGTCTAGCTTCCCTATGCCCTGAGAAAGAGGCAGGCAAGAAAGGAGACATAGCTGTGTCCTGGGCTAGCCAATCAGCATGGTATTTAGAAACACAGAAGTAAATATTAGACTTTGAAAAAGAAAGCTCAAATGAACAGGGTTGCCTCCTAGACCCGGAACTTGGAAACACCAACTACTGAAGCCTGGTTGCTGTTTGGCAGTAGTAGTAATATTCTTTGTAGTTTTATTACTCAATAATGATTTTTGACTTTTAAACTTAGATGTATAGTTGTGTACACACACACACACACACACACACGAGTTTGATCAAAATACAATTAACTGAAGGAAGGAAAGCACAAACTGCAAACGTAGCATGCTCTCTTGCCCAACTAATTAGCTCCCAACCTCCCCTCAGGTCAGTGCTCAGTCATGTCTGCCTCAGGGAAGCCTCTCTGGCTCTCCCAGTAGGGAGAGGAATATTGGGAAGACAGAAATGTATCTTCTTGAAACCTTGAGCACGGTTGTAGTTTCACAGCACTTGGGTGGTGTTGGATCCCTGACCGCCTCCTCCCATGAGACTCCTAGCTCCACGAGGGCAGAGATGAGGCTTAGCATCTCAGAGATGCTTCATCCCCGTCTCCCCAGTGCACAGCTCGCTCTTAGTTAACAGTTGATGAGTGAATAAATGACTAATACTCTGAGTCACAGGCACCCTGCCCGCCCTACAAGTATCCCATGGTTGTGGAACTTAAGCTGAGAGAGACAACAAGTTGAGTACCGTTGTCAGCAATGCTGAGCACATAAATCAGTTCCATAAACACTTATGGAGCATGTGGTGTGTGCCAGGTGAGCTGGCTTCCTCATTCAAGTTTCGGCAGTCCCCTAGGACGTGAGAGTGTAACCGTTACAGACGCCTTCAGCAGTAAGCCAAAGAGCAGCCAGTTAGGAGGAGTTTCACCAAAACTGATGAACTTTCTCTTGCATAACAAGAAGCCTGGAAACTATTACAGGGGGAGCAACTGCTGCTATTAGATCAGCAACTCAGTACTGAGCGCTCTGAGTCAGTGTCTCTGCACTTGTCTGCCACTCGTGTAGAATGATCTCATCTTTGCAGAACCAAATTTAAGGGCACAGAGAAGGTAGACAAAGCACACTGCAGGCATGAAAATCTTTCCCAAGGAGGACGCTGGTTAAGACATTCATGTCCCACACTGGAGCACTTGAGTTCTGGACTCAGCTCTGGTTCTCCATTCTAATTCCTTCTGATCCAGACCCTGGGAGGCACCAGTAATGGCTTCAGTGACTGGGTTCCTCGATCCTACATGAAAAACTTGGATTAAGTTGCTAGTTCTGGGCTTCAGCCCAGTCGT